ACCAGGACCTGGGAATGAGCCAGGAGGGCCAGAACACACCACCGGTGAGATGTACCGGGGGCATCTTCCCCAAAGATGCCCCGCCTTCCAGCTCCCGCCATAACATCCCCTGCCCATTACCACCTCAATGGTGTAGCCCACTGCATAGCCCCTGGGGGTTCTGGGCCCAAATACCTCCCCACCTGGACCTCCTGAGACCCCAGTCCAAAGAAAGGGCCCCTCCTTCCAACCAGTCATCCTCATTCACACCCAAATGCTTACCAGTGAGGGAGGGTCACCCCAGCGCACCAGCTCACGCTCTTGGCGCCACCAGAACCCACCCCCCACCGAACCATCCACTCCCCCACATCCTCTGCCACCCTGCATGACCTCTCTCACTAGTCGGCAGGGTGGACATCTGACTCATTCACTCATACCTCCTGTCTCCCACCCAGAAGGTGGATCCTCCTATCCTCACATGCTCTCAGACTCCCTCCTAGACTCTCACTCCCAGGAGTCCCAGACTCATGCTGGAAGACCCTGTGGTTCTCCACTGGCCCGGGGGGGGGGGCTTAATGGGGTGGCTAGATTCTTAATCCCCAGTTCGCTGGTCTTAGAACCAGGGGCTGTTGACTCCATATGCTGTTCGGCTGCTCCCCTGTCCAGCTGCTCCTCTGGCACCAAACAATCCTCCTCTACAGCCAGCCTGCAAGTCCACCATGGCCTCGGCCCCCACAACCCGCCCAGCATCCTTGCGCCAAACCACCAAGTTCCCAGGGCTCCAGCCGTCTGTGAATTCCCACATCCTTGGAATTAGCTGCGGTGCTCCGGGGCTCTCCAAACCCAACATGTAGTCCCGAGGTCGATTGAAGCTCGCAGCACTGCTCCAGGGGCCCGCTATGGCACCTGAGGGCTTGCTGGGCCTATTGGGCCTGGGACTCACTGTGCTGCGCCGGGATCCATTGGGTTTGCTGTGCCATACTGGAGCTCACCGGGGCTTGCCACGCCGGGGCTCACCAGGACCTGCCGTGGCTTGTTGCCTCCCGGGGCCGCGGCGTTTCAGGCTCACCAAAGGTTGCCACCCACGCCGAGGTCCGCAAGGGCTCCCTCTGCCGCGTCAAGCCTAGGCGGGCTCAGTAGGCTCGTCGCACTGCACCGGCACCCCTTGGGGTTCGCCACGCCAGCTCTCCGTTCCAGGGGCTCAGCACACCATGCAGGGACCGTACTGCACCGGAGCTCACCCAAGGTTCATCCAAGGCCACTGTGAACCGGTGCGAACCGCCACGTTCTGCCTGCGCCCTGCCGCTCCGTCCAGGGGTTGCACCCGAGAAGACACATCAGAGGAGGTAAAAAAACCCCTTGCAGTCTTCTCTGCACCCAGTCCACCCCTAAAAGATGATAAATCCCGGGGGAGGAAAGGTCAAAACCGGAAGACCCCCGGATACAGCGGCAACGACCGGCGTTTCCTGGCGGCTGCCATCTTGAGTTCTTAGAGTTCTCTTTACCTTTGCCACCTCATTTTATCATAATTTTATCATAATTTATTGATTAGTTTATTGTTATTATCACCTAATTAGACCCAGAGACCTTCAGAAGAGCTTCCCTCATACCTTAAAAGGCATGAGCACAAAAAACAGTGAGTTGTGTAACTGCAGAAAACATATAATTTAATTTCATTGAACTGAATTTTATTATGCGGGTTAACAGCAAAGCCTCATGCATACTGGAAATACTGGAAACCTTGCTGCCATGTTGTGAATCCGTGTCCTTATTGAACCAATGTTCTTCTCATATATCTCATGACTTCAATCTGCGCATGAAATTAACTTTTCCTCTATATTCTTTGCAGTTTAATTTCTGCTGTTTTAAAATTTATTCATTGGTACCTTCAAAGTTGTATTAACTCCTGCTAACTGCCTAGATAAGTCCCTGCAGTTTTATTTATTTATTTATTTTATATAAGGCTCATTGAAGATCCAAGTGGCATTCTCAGTAATAAAGACAATGCTAAATGCTAGGGCCTTGCATCCTATCTTATATCTTATCTCATCTTTTCATTTTTCATTCCATTTCAGTTTATATTATATTTTACTTTATTTTAATGAAATATGTGCTGATATATATTTGGCTAATATGGAGTGCAGTGAGCTGTGTGAGTTTGTCAGTCTAAGGTTCACATACTATCATTAAATGATCCAGGAATCTATGAGAAGAATAAAATCCCAAACTGTTTTGGTTTGAATTAATCTAGCATGTGTGTATTGTCTGAATCTCGTCCACGGTTTGCATTTTGAAGTGTCTATTTTTCATCTTGGGATATGCACCTCAAAAAAGACAGGGCTGAAATTCAAACTCAAGCAATGTAGTCACAGAGAGGATTCCCCTACCCCCCCTTAAGGCAGAAACAGGACTGCAGATCAATAATTGCCTCAGCAGAAATGTTAGATGTGGAGAAGGGGGAGATGAGGAGAAGTCCCAAGAGGGCATGCTGGCCTTTCTTCTTCAGCCACACCTCTGGGAATGCTGATCACTCTATCGTTAAGTCACATTATGGTGTGTAATTGCAACACAGAAAGCCTCTCTGGCTGGCACCAAGCATGCTTTGGTCGATAGGCCTAAAAATAGGAATCTTCATGTCTGCTGGCCAGAAGGACGCCAC